AGAACTACAAAGGCAGCGCCTTGGCCAGAATGCTCCAATGCTTTCATCGCTGGCCGATGCGATTTGCAAGGAGGTTCAACAGGCAGTCCAGGAAGCACACACACAGAAACCCCATCCGAATGCCTATACAGAAGCGCCACTAACGCATCAGCCAAATCTGTCCTACGCCAATATTCTACTGTGAGGAATTCCCGGACGTGCAAACAATGCAGCCACAGCCCCTATGCAGCCACCACCCGAGAGGAGACTCAGAAAGAGCGATATCTAGCGTGATCCCGATTGGATACCTCAGTGCTACCATTGTGGGGAGGCCAGCCATCTCTAACTAATGTGGGGTTATCGTTAGGCGGGATTTAGTGGCTTCCCTGTGAACATACCTCGACCGCAGAGCAGTGAGCGTCCTTTGAAATCGAAGAATACTTATCAACTCGTCAAGGCTCGTGCCGCTTTCAACATCAACATCAGACAACAATTCCGTCCAGGTATTGGTCGCCCAGCCCCGTCTTTTAGCAAGCTCTCCAAGACGCCGCTCACCAAGCCCACATCGAGAAAACTAAAGTCAGCAACCTGGGGAGGCAAATCCGCAGTCCATGCTGAAGCGCAAAAACCTCCATCGCTGACTCCAACTGATGACGACAGACTCAACGACCGGTGCTGTAATAACAGCGTCACTTCTGATTTACGCATGCTTGTTGATGGCTACGAAGTCATCGCAGTGGTGGACACAAACGCAGATTATTTGGTAACGGGTAGTGAACTTTCAAAAGGGCTAAGGAAAGTGCTGACACCATGGAAGGGATTACAAATTCGAACAGTACAAGGATACCTCATCAACCCAACAAGAATACATATGCACTACAAGAATTAGAGTGCAAGGTTCCACGTACGCGGCAAGTTTTATTGTGCTGCCCGAGTGCTCAAGAGAATTGATAATGGGTATGGACTGTTTGCAGACTAACGGTGCTCTGATCGACGTGTGAGAATCTAGCGTCTCATTTTCAACGAGGCATGCTATCGCAACCTTCGACACTGAAGAAAACGTCTACGACCTCTGCATTGCGGACGACAACGTCGTGGTACCGCCGAAATCAAGCATATCAATAACAGTAACAAGCAGAGCGTTCAGTGACTTCGAAGGAGTTGGCACAGCAACACGGGCCTGGCACTTGAAAAAAGAATATGCATTGCACAAGGCCTCATTCAGTTGCATCAGAGGATACACTGACGTCTTGCTCACCAACTTTGGAAATGAGGTGCAGCATATTGTAAAAGAAAATGTCATCGCCACTCTCAATGACTTCATCCAGGTTACAGAAGCGAGTGTTTCTGACACCACGACAACTGGTCTAACAGATAAAAATTCTGTTCTTGCGTCTATCGATATTGAACCACAATTACTACCCGACCAAAAGAAGCAAATTGGAAGTCTCGTACAGAAATTCACAGCATACTTCTCAGTATTATCGCAAGTCTGATGCACACCTATCACCAAACATCATGTTATTGTGGGCGAATCTGTGAGGCTTATAAACCAACATCCCTACCAAGTGTACACAAAAGAGAGAGTTTATCGGAAGTCAAGTAAAAAAAATGCTTAGACACAATATAATCCAACTGTAAGCAAGCCCATGGGTGTCACGTGTGGTCCTTGTAAAGAAGAAAGGTCAGACTAAGCTTCTGCATAGATTACCGGAAACTGATTGCTGTCACTAAGCGCGATGCTTACCCTCTTCTAAAAATTGACGACACTCTGAATGGGCTACAAGACAGAAAGTACTTTTCCTCGCTTTATCCTAAGAGGTTTCCTGGGCAAGTAGCACTGGCCGGCAAGTGGGGGATATGGTGTCAGTGGTGGTAGCAGCAGTCTGGCAGCGGAATCGAAGTGGGGCAGTGTCCTGACAAGAGTACTGAAGAGCGCAGACTGTGGCGCTCCGGGGATTCCAAGGGATTGCCGAACTTCCTCGCAGACAATGTCAGCGATTCAATCCACTTGAGGTTTGCGACAAAGGTAACGGCTTGCGCGGCTCCTTTTGGACTATCACCCAGATTGTCTTGCACAGGTGGGTCAGTGCTGAGGGCATGAGCCTCAGAATAGTTGACTGTTGAAGAGTGACGGTTATACTGCCTTGTGCGCATCTCAAGTGCCTTCTCGATTGTCGTGGCCTCGATGAAGAATTCTTCAACAGTTTTGGGCGGGTTGTGCACAAGCTCCAAAAACAACTCTTCCTTGACACCTCGCATCAGGAATTGGAGCTTCTCCTCCTTGGCCATGATGGCGTCAGCGTGACAGAACAGCCAGGTCATCTCTTCGATGAAGATGGTCACGCTTTCGTTCAGGAGTTCCATACGCGTCTCCAAGATAGTACCGACACGTTCCTTGCATACAACGCTCGTGAACATGCCGAGGAATATCGTCCGAAAGATATCCCAGCTTCGTAGCGTGCATTCCAGATTCTCAAACCACGTCTTCGCAGCATTTTCTAGGTAAAAGTTGATGCGGTGCAGTTTTTCATCGGGGTCCCAGCTGTTCAAACGGCTACTCAGTCGTACGTCTCCAGCCAGATTTCTGGGTCTTCCATTGATGATCTGCGGAATGTTAGTGGCTCTTTAGGCTACCGGAGCACGATTGGTGCAGGTGACATGGCGGTGGTCATTGTGCCTGTGGTTGAAGCCACGTTCTTGGCAAAGTGCTTATGGTAGGGGAATGTACAAACAACACAGGATGCAGTTTTTAAGAGGAGTGCAGCTCATCATTTTTACAATCAACAAAAAGAGCAAACGAAGAAAAAGAAAAAAGACAAACAACAGAGCGTCATGTGCCCACATCAAAGAGCTCCTTCCCTTAGTTCTGTGAACAGTTCTATTGTAAGCTGAGCAACAATAAATTTATCTAATGAATTCCAGTCTCTAACTACCTTTAAAAAAAAATGAGAAGTGATATACATTGTTAGTAGAATAAAATTAACCTACATTAAGTCTATTTCTTTGTCAGGTTTCTCTGGAAGGGTCATATGTAACAAATTACGTGGGATTTAGCTTGAAGCTATTGCATAACAGTTAATACAAGGATTTTAATCTATGCACATAACTCGGCTAGACCAAGTGGAGAGGCCAAAGAGTCGAAGTTCTGTCGGGAAATCGTTACGCCTATAAATATTCAAAATAATCTGCACAGCTTTTCTTTATACTCTTTCAAGTGTAAGAATGTTGTTTTTTGTGTGTGTGAAAAACTATGCAACATGGTTATATTCCAGCATTAGTCGAATAAGGCTTGTATGAGCAAGATATTGTGTATTTATGAGCATTTAAACCTAGGAGTGTTAGCGCCGCTAGTAGCCATGGCGGTCAGTGCGGAACATTCATTTTCTGCCTGCTGGCGTTGTGAAGCACACAATATTTTTACAAGCTGGCAGCTAATTAATAATTACAAATAGAAGTTGGTTGCTTATAACTTCCACTGAATCAGTTCACACATATAGTCTCAGGACAACATTTTTCAAAAGTAAACTGCTTGATGACACAAATAGGATTAGAAAAACAGAACACTGAGCTAGTTGGTAAGTATTCATTCTAAAAGACAGGGCATGCAAACACGAAGGAGAAAGAAGCCAGAACTCCACGTTGTTAGTTGGCGTTTATGGTGTCTCGAATTTTGCTTTGTGTCCAAGTTTCCTACCCTGTCTTTCAGAATGACACAGCATGGTCTGTAGAAATGCTAGGTCCCTATATGAAAGCAAGGTATAATAAAACACGCTTTCCTCTCAAAATGCAGGACACTTAATATAGTGAACTCATGTGGAAGAAAAGATGCGCAGATGCTTTTCTTGTTTTCTTGTGTCCACAATGTTCAATATTCTGCTCCTTTGACAAGATATGGTGCCAGGAATGGCAAATGTCAATTAATTACAACAAAACTGTTGTAATTACAACAAAACTGGATGAAAATAACACTAAAGAAAAATCCTTTATGCTATCAGTACGGCACAAATAGCGTCAATCTTACAGAAGTTGTAGAATACAAGTACCTTGGAGTATGGATAACTAATGATCTAAACTGGAACAAACACGTCGATATAACTACAGGTAAATGTCTACGGAAACTTTTTTTTCTAAAGCGATCCTTAAAATATTCTACCCCGTCTGTACGCATGTTGGCATATAAAACACTCATTCGTCCAATGTTGGAATATGCTGTAATAATATGGGATCCATTCACTAAACGTAACATTAATCAATTAGAAAAAGTGCAGAACAAGGGCTTACGTTTTATTTATAACTCCTACGGTAGAACATCCGTATCTGAATTATTGGTAAAAAGCGGTCTGCAACCCGTTGTGGACAGAAACCGCACTTGCCGGCTTAAGTTTTTCTATCAATTAATAAATGGTCATTTAAATGTTGACAATGCAGGCATTCTTCGGTATTCTTCCGGTTACGCAACTCGCAAGCGACATAGTAAAACGATAACTCCTTTACCTTCACGGATTAACTGCCACAAGTATTCGTTCTTCCCTAGAACTATTAATGACTGGAATAGCCTGACAAATGATGTCGTTTTACAGAAGAAACTGTCATTGTTTGAAAACAGCATCGCCTAAACCATCACTACACATTGCATTGTATTATTTGTTTTATTGTAATTATTGTGTTAGTCTATAACCCGTATTCTACGTGTTACGTTATTATGTGTTATGTTACTCGAAAAATTTGTTGAAATAAGCGTTTGTGAACCTTCGCCTTGTATATTCAAATCGTACGATTTATTGTGTTTTCATTATTTTTTTGTATGTACCGATTCTCGAACATTTTTTTTTTTTTCCCACCCTGCCATGATCTTTCAGCTGAAGGATCGCAGTATTTATAAATAAATAAATAAAAAAAAATATGTCAAGCAGCCCAAATGAACATGCAGCGAACGGCTTTCATGATTTTTTGTAACTAGCATAAATGGATTATATCCTTATAGTGTATTTGTCTACAATGCAGGCAAGTGGACTCACCAGCCTGCTCTTCAAAAAGGTTCAAGCATTTCCCGTTGTCCGTCAGTAGACGCACCAGCTCCAATCTGTGCATGCAAGAAGATCATGTTCTTAATGGCACCTGTTTCAGCCATACATTGAACTGCGAGCCCTAGAGCGATATCCACAATACCTTACAATCAACAGGCATAAAAAACGATGTTCCCATGCCAAACCGCATGACATTAAATCGAGCAAAACTCGCCTACCTTAAGGTGATTGCTTGAGACTGCCTGAGCGAGCACGTCATGTACTCCCTATTTGTAAAATTCCTTTTATACAAGTAAATTCCACATAATTTACTTGTCAAGCGGCACACAAGTCTGCCAAACCAGTTCTTGCACCCTTACAGCCTGTCACATGGCCACCAAAACACTGGGCAAAGCTAATCATGGACATTGTTGGTTTGCTAGGACTTGCTGCATATGAGTGCAGATTTGCAATCACATTATGTAACTACCCCTCCAAGTCTGGCTAACATCTCCAGTATTTCATTAAAGCACTTCTCTCTCTCACTCCAAGTGGATTTATTCATGCAGTCACTTGTGAAGTAGTCACTGCATTTTTGTCAGCACTTTAGCACTTTTCAGGAATAAAGGCTTCCCAAAAGAAATTGTAAAGGACAATGTTCCTCAATTGAAATCATAAGTAGAGGCCGGATTTATGGGCACGAAGAATCGGGATTTAGGCACCTAAAACAGGCAGGTAAAACGAGTTTTAGGCCCCAAGAATCCTAAATGTAGACACAATGAAGTTTTACAAAAATTCAAATTTTTAAAGAAAAATGTGTGGAACCTGTGTCTATGGCATAAAAGCAAGAAGAGATTATTTAGCTTGCGATGGTACAACGGCACCAATCGTTTCGCATAGCCCTGCAATTTTTTTTCCAGCAGGATTTGTAGAACATGGTCTCTCCTTTTATCGTCCAGCGGTGACTCAAGTGTCCGCCGTCGAGAAAACCTAGATCCTACCTTCCCCTGATGAGACTTCACAGTTTCGCATTCGTTCTCATCATCATCATCATGAACCTGACTACGTCCACTGCAGGACAGAGGCCTCTCCCATGTTCCGCCAGTTAACTCGGTCCTGTGCTTGCTGCTGCCAAATTATACCCGCAAACTTCTTAATCTCATCTGCCCACCTAACCTTTTCTCTCCCCCTAATCCGCTTGCCTTCTCTGGGAATCCAATTAGTTACCCTTAATGACCAGCGGTTATCCTGTCAACGCGCTACGTGCCCAGCCCATGTCCATTTCCTCTTCTTGGTTTCAACTATGATATCCTTAACCCCCATTTGTTCCCTAATCCACTCTGCTCTCTTCTAGTCTCTTAAGGTTACACCTACCATTTTTCTTTCCATTGCTCGCTGCGTCGTCCTCAATTTAAGCTGAACCCTCTTTGTAAATCTCCAGGTTTCTGCTCCATAGCTAAGTACCGGCAAGATACAGCTGTTATATACCTTCCTCTTGAGGGATAGTGGCAATCTACCTGTCATGATTTGAGAGTGCTTGCCAAATGTGCTCCACCCCATTCTTATTCTTCTAGTTACTTCAATCCAGTGATTCAGTTCCGTGGTTATTACCTGCCCTAAGTATACATAGTCTTTTACAACTTGAAGAGCACTATTACCTATCTCGAAGCGCTGCTCTCTTCCGAGGTTGTTGTACATTATTTTCGTTTTCTGCAGATTAATTTTAAGACCCACCTTTCTGCTCACCTTGTCTAACTCAGTAATCATGAGTTGAAATTCGTCCCCCAAGTTACTCACCAATGCAATGTCATCAACGAAGCGCAGGTTACTAAGGTACTCTCAATTAACTCTTATACCTAACTGTTCCCATTCTAGGCCTCTGAAAACCTCCTGGAAGCGCGTGGTAAACCGCATTGGGGAGATTGTATCCCCCTGCCTTACACCCTTCTTGATTGGTATTCTGTTGCTTTCTTTATGAAGCAATATGATAGCAGTTGATCCCCTGTAGATTTCTTCCAGGATGTTTAGATATACTTCATCGACGCCCTGATTCCGCAGTGCCTGGATGACTGCTGATATATTTACTGAATCAAACGCCTTCTTGTAATCTATGAAGATGGTGTATAGTGGTTGGCTATATTCTGAGCATTTCTCTATTACCTGATTGATAGTATGAATGTGGTCGATTGTTGAGTAGCCTGTTCGAAATCCTGCTTGTTCCTTTGGTTGATTAAATTCTAATGTTTTCTTATGTCTGCCAGCAATCACCTTTGTAAATAGCTTGTATACTACGGAGAGCAAGCTGATCAGCCTGTAATTCTTCAAGTCCTTGTCATCTCCTTTCTTATGCATTAAGATGATGTTAGCATTCTTCCAAGTCTGTGGTACTCTCCCTGTCAGGAGGCACCTCGTAAACAGGGTGGCTCGTTTCTCTAACACAATCTGTCCTCCATCTTGCAGCATATCTGATATTACCTGGTCCTCACCAGCAGCTTTACCTCTTTGCATGCTCTCCAAGGCTTTTCTGACTTCTATCATTACTGGTGGGGTGTCATCTGGTTTACTGTTAGTTCTTAGAGTATTAAGGTCGGGGTTGTTCCGGCTACTGTACGGGTCTCCGTAAAACTCCTCCGCTATTTTAACTATCCTATCCATGTTGGTAGTTATTTTGCCTTCTGTGTCCCTTAGTGCATACATCAGATTTCTGCCTATCTCAAGTTTCCTCTTCACTGCTTTGACGCTTCCTCCGTTTTTCAGAGCGTGTTCAATTCTCTCCATGTTATACCTTCTTACATCGGATACCTTACGCTTATTAATCAACTTCGAAAGCTCTGCCAGTTCTATTTTGTCTGTTGTACTTGAGACTTTCAAGATTTGATGCTTCTTAATGAGATTCTTCGTTTCCTGGGAAAGCTTGCAGTGTCCTGTCTAACTACCCTGCCTCCATTTTCCACTGCACATTCCGTAATGATACTCGTCAGATTATCATTCATTGCCTCAACGCTAAGGCTGGTTTCCTCTATAAGAGCCGAGGACCTGTCCTGAAGTGAGACTCTGAATTCCTCTACTTTCCCTCTCAGTGCTAGCTCATCGATTGGCTTCTTGCGTATCAGTTTCTGTCGTTCCTTCTTCAACTCTAGGTGAATTCGAGACCGTACCATTCTATAGTTACTGCATCATACCTTGCCAACCACTTCCACGTCCTGCACGATGTTTGGGTGTGCACTCATTGTAAAGTCTATTTCGTTCTTATTTTCGCCATTAGGGCTCCTCCATGCCCACTTACGGTTTCCTCGTTTTCGGTAGAAGGCATTCAAAATCCGTAAATTATTGCGTTCTGTGCATTTTACTAGTAAATCTCCTCTAGCATTTCTAGTACCGATGCCATAATCTGCCACTGCCTGGTCTCCAGCCTGCCTCTTCCCTACCTTCCCATTAAAATCTCCCATCAGTATAGCATACTGTGTTTTTACCTTACTCATTGCCGATTACACGTCTTTATAGAAGCTTTCAACTGAAGCGTAATCATGGCTGGATGTAGGTGTGTAAGCTTGTACAACATTCATCTTGTATCTCTTATCGAGTTCAGTTACGATACCTACCACCCTTTAATTGTTGCTATAGTATTCCTCTATTTTGCCAGCTATGTTTCTATAAATAAGGAACCCCACTCCCAGTTCTCTTCTGTCAGCCAAGCCCCGATAGCAAAAGACGTGCCCATTCTATAGCACCGTATAGGCCTCATCTGTCCTCCTAACCTCACTGTGCCCTATTATATCCCATTAAACACCCTCTAGCTCCTCGAATAATACAGCTAGATTTGCCTTACTAGATAAGGTTCTAGCGTTAAACGTTGCCAAGTTCAGGTTCCAATGGCAGCCTGTCCGGATCCAGACATTCTCAGCACCCTCTGCTGCATTGCAGATCTGACCGCCGCCGTAGTCAGTTGCTGCGCAGCTGCTGGGGACTGAGGGCCATGAGTTAATTGACCTATGCATGTGGGAGGTGGTGGCCAGATGCTGCACCAGGGTGGCCAATCCTCTGGTGAGGGAGTGCATTACCGGCGGTGGTCACCAGTGAGGCCGCATCCCAGGGCTCCTAATGCAGTTCCATCGCCACGCGGATTTTTTTTTATCCGGTTGGGAAATCCGCGGCACCGGGGTTCGAACCACGGACCTCTTGCATGCGAGGCGGATGCTCTAACCGTCTCAAGCGACTTGCAAATGGCAGCATCATTAACATCTATTTGCAAAATTTTTCTGATGCTCGTGGATTCTGTAAATACTGAGTGCTTCACAAACCTTACAAGAAGGCTCCTCAAGACACTTGCAACCTCTTTCGCTAAAAAAGCTCTTGGGAGAATCACACTGAAAAACTGTCAAGACAGGCTGCACAACCATTGCAATGTTTAGGGAAAAGTTCGGTTTTGCAAGTGCAAGCGGGTGCTTTAGAAAAGCGCTGACATTCTCGTATGCTCTACATTTTGGCATGAGCAGCCTGTGGTCCCCTATAACTTCGATATAGTGCTTTAGGTGCTCCCACATTGCCGAGGCTCCCTCCAGTACTGGTGCATTCTCGACTTAGCAGTGGTATACAAAAAGGAAGTAGAAACAGCATTCTGATGCATTCGTTCGGCATCATCCTAAAGCTGCACAGCTTTTCTTGTTTCGTACGCGTGTGGACAGATGTCTGGGAGATGACGAGCAGATGACGCGACGCGAATGAATTCCTGTGTGTAGAGGCTAACAGGACTTCTTATTCGCTAAGGGGCCTTGTGGCCTTGACAGTGCTGAAACTTCTGAGATAGGCTTGCACCCCATAGAGTTCCATTAGCTCAATTTTGCGCGGTAACATGGATAGCGGTTTCCAACTGTACTCGAAAGCACAACTTTAAGGTTAAATAGGATTACTATCGGCACCGATATTGAAAATGGGCGTTTATAGAACTTATCGAACTTTAGGCAAAAACGTCAAAAATAGGCATTTACAGACACTATAAAAACACTATAAAAACCAGTCTTAACCTCTAATTCATGCTCATATATCAAAATGACATTACAGACATGCAAGAAACGAAATAGATATTTGCCTATAATCCGGTCTCTAGTCATAAGTGTTCAAAACTTTTTTCTCAGACAGAGGTATTCAGCATCTTTGCTATTCAATCTACTAGGTGCAAGCCAACACCCAAGTTGAAAAATTCCCCTGCATTTTGAAAGAGTAAATCCAGCCCAGTCAACTTTAATGCCACCCACTAAAGCAAGACGTTAGCGAGTACTTGAAAAAAACACAGCTTGAGGAAACACCCCTCAGGCTACTACTACAGGCTTATGACATCTGCAAGACTTGAGCATAAAAGCCAGCCTCATTCTAGAATTGACATCACAAGGTTACACCCAAAGTCCTTTGCTCCTTTGAATTTTTCGCAGTGCTATAGACCCATAGCCAACTCGGGGAATTTATCGACAACTCAAACAGCAAGGACGCAGGATACTGCAAATTAAAGAGCACTCTTACTGAAGCAACTCGAAAAGTTTCCGAAAAACCTGTATCGATTTACTTGTGGTTTTGTGCTACAAATGGGCAGTTGTTAGTTTCCCTTTCTTCATATTTCAACTTATTAGCGAAAATAGAGCAAGATACACTTTTGACTTATTTATCGAATTCGAAGACAAGAGCGTCGAGTTGGGTAGTCTTTTTAAGGATAAAAAATAACTGAAGAATAGATTCACGATTGCTAGAACCTATCTTCCTTCAGTTATTAACTAAATAAAATTCTCAATTCTTGCATCTGATATTTTTTTTAATTTTTCTTACGAAAAAAATGAGAAGTTTAAACACATGTTACTCTGAAAAAACTTTTTTTGCTCTAAAGTGTTAAATTAAAAGTGTGTTTTTTGCTCTAAAGCGTTGCGGGAGGGGACGGGCAAGGAGCTGAAACAAGAGCAAGGTATTAAGGGTCACTAAACCAAACTTGTGACTTCCTTAGAACAAAATAATCAACAAATGAAGCCTCCCACAAAGTATGTATGTACAATGCTTTAGCAATATCATAAGAACTGTTGGGGTCTGGTGTCACAAAACCACGGTATGATTATGAGGGGTGCCATAGTGGAGAGCTCCAGAAATTTTGACCAATTGGGATTTTAACGCGCACCTAAATCCAAGAAGACACGCCTAAAGCATTTTTGCCTCTATTAAAATGCAGCCGCCGCAGCAACACTTCAGCCAGGAAAGCTGCCTCAGGAAGACATGCTTCTTTTTCAAATAAACCTGTTCGTCGTCTGCTTACTACTTGAAGACTTCCTTTGTTTTTTTTTGTTTTTTTTTTTTTTTGTAAGAACCACACCTTAAGGGCAAATCCTCGGGCAACGACAGGTCCAACACCAGGTTGAAGCAGTGAGCCCTGATGATGTCAAGTGGGTCCCGCTGCACAGGATAAAAAACAGCGAGCTCCACACATGGCACAGAATGATTCATATGTGAAGAAAATGCCCTAGCAACCATCAGGTATAACAACACATTACTAGCATAAAGCCATAGAGCACATTCAATATCCTGAGGTATGCTGTTGACAAAGCAGATCATAAGCTATATTGCAAGTTAGTAAATTTTCAATGCTTACAGAATACATGGCACTACTGTTTATCCTAACATTGTTCGATGCCTTTATGATTAACAAAGAGTTTATGTGTAGTGCAGACACTAGTTCAGTCTAGTATACAATAGCTCAGCATGTAAATCAGCCATATAAATGTGAATAGGCTTTCTAATAATTAAATTGTGAACACACAAAGTAACCATTCTCTGTAATGCTCTCTGCATGAGATTCTCACAAGACCTGTCAAACAAAATGTAATGTGCAACTATGTTTTGCCATTCTAATTTGGCTGTAAGCACCGATTGTGCATTTAGACAATAATGCACACTACTGATAATGCTTCCCGTACACCACCATTGCACTAACGCATGAAAGGGCCTACAAAAACAATACTTCTTAGCAACATCATGGCAACCACACAAAATACCAGGTTAAACATAAAGAAATGAGTACACTAAAACAAGCAAACGAACTGAAGCAACTGGAAAATTGAACCCAAAAGGTAGCATGAGTCAACAGATACCAATCCAAACCTACCAACTGGCCAGCCTTCCCTTTAGTAAGTTTAGAGGCAAGTCTGTGCAGCAGGGAGAGTATAATATAAAATAGTACTGCATGAACTCGTGCAATGCCAATCTTTATGATGTAGTGGCACTTCCAAATGATTCTCAGGAAGATAGACTGAGACGCAAATAAAAATTTGAATATACTACAGTAACCATAATGCAAGACTATGAGTGGCACTCGCATTTTGATGTTCATGTTCTCCGGTGTATTCCTTAGTGTTAACTTCGAGTATTACTGCACTGCCAAAGCAGATTTCAAAAGTCACATAGCAGGAAACTCGTGGTTGAGATGTACTCTGCCAGGCACTGCAACAATCCTGAGCGCTCACAAGAAACGTGCCTGCTCTTCCAATGAACTGAATCAATTAAGTTTCATTAATTACCCTAATAATTCATTTGCCCTTGTCTTAAGTAAACTTAAGTTGCAATATCGTATGTATCCAATATAACTATTAACTTGAACCAGGAGCGCTGATTTCACACAAGCTTTATCTTTAGAACATATTTGGTAAATATTCTAAAAACAGCTAAATGCTGGCTGGCAGCTATAAAACTTTTATTTGTGTATTTGAACAGTATCAGTCAGCTCGAAAATCTTTCGCTTAACCTTAAAGCCACGCAATGAGAAACTATCATCGCACATTTTCAACCAATAGACAAAAATATAGCCTATTTTTTCTTTATTTTTTTTATTCTATCTTCTATCTTAACATCTCTTTTCTCCCTCTCTTGCTATCCGTACTTTCAATCCCCAATCTCCTTCCAAAGCCAGAGCAGCAAGTCAGCGATTAGCATACGTCGGCTACATTTTCTGTTTTTTAATAAATACTTCTCTCTCTCTCTCTAACTGCTGGAATCAAGTGCTTGACTGGATATGCATGAAGAGCAACAAGAGTGTCACTCGTGCCACTAAAAAGCTTTACTAGAATCCCGTATGCACATACGTATCCACCATAGAGTTTCTCACAAACTTATCTAGAGGGAAATCTGGCACTAGTGAGCTGCTGGATGCAAGAGAATGACGGCATATGAGAGCTTCAAACTTGACTCGGATTTGTATACCTCGAAAACGCGTCTCGCTTCGCATTAAAATCACTGATTTCTTACTAAAAGAGCACGTAAGAAGCTATTTATTTTTGTCATTGCACAGAAACGTGTTTCATTTAACACTAGAATCTTCTGCGTCGATGTGCAATCTTACGAAGGGTAAGAAGTAACCAACGGCTGCTAAACTTGGCAGGCAGACGACAAAGCGAGCGTTCCCTCCACGCACTTTTGTCGTCTGTTTCTTTCTTTTGCCATTTGGTTGTGCAGTAAAGGTAAGGGGACTTTTATTTTAGAATATAATATGCGTGAATGAGATCCGCTTTTGAACGTTTTGTTTCAGAGAAGCTATATTTACACAGTCGTATTCGCTGTTGAGTCGAAGGCTCGCTCAACACCTGCCAACACAAGCCTCGCAGACACATATACCTTCATTCCCAGTGCACTAACAGGGCCGTTTATGAAATTGGCATAGACCGTGGCACCACACTTCCCTCTAGGTATTCTTGTGAGAAACTCTACGGTATCCACAATAGTTCACTACTAGTTCTTTAGCTAGGTCACGACTGGTTGCATAAGACAAGCATCAGCTACCAGGGGGCACTAGAGGTGTTCACACTTGCCTGGGCTCGAACCAAAGTGCAGTAGAAGTTAAGCACCACATGGCGCACCTCGGTGCCGTGAGCTGGGTTCAGCAGGTCACAAGTCAGGCTATACAGGCTCTCTGCTGCTCCCTGTCAAAACATGAATCAAGCCATGCATAAAGATGGCACTGCTTTTCAAGCTTTCTTTAATGCTGACACAGAGGCACTCGCAGCCTTACTCTAGATGCTTACCTTATCGAAGAGTCATTTACAATGCAAAAAAATTACTGAGTGTATTAAAAAAATTACTGAGGTGTAAAAATTACTGAGGTAAAAATTACTGAGGTGTAAATTACTGAGGTGAGAAGCGATTGAATGGGCAGTTACTAAAAGTGCGCTACAACTCTGAATTCATGCAATGAACCTTCAACAAAAGTTGAAAAGTTGGGTAACTAAATGCAATTAGTTAAAGGAAGTAAAGTTCTCTGAATATCTTTAGGCTGGTGTGCATAGTTCGGGTTCGATTCAATTTGCTTCCGATGCACCTTTCATTTTCAGTCGCAGCCCAAGTTACGCACAACATGATCATACACAGAGCGACACGTACAAACACAAGCCTGAACCCACATTTACGGTTTGTACCCCGTCCTTCCCACCTGAAATAAATTTCTAGCTATGTCCCTGCCAATGGTACCAAGCCCAGATCGAGAAGCATCCTTCACAGACATTAAGGCTGTACTGGTTTCTCTACCTATGACAGCCCACTACCAGGAGGATGCGCACACAATTATGCAAGAGCCTGTGCTCTTTGACATGAAGGCATTCTACTCTTAGACAACTCTGATGGTCACTTGCACATTGCTGCAGATGCTAGTTGTCAGCACAGTGAATGTATAATTCGGCACAATGCATCCAAATTGCCTGGTGGTAGTTCCGGCTACCGAAATGTTTATGCCCGATGCTGACGGCAAATAATTCCCAAATGTTACCACCAACAGCAATCTTCATTGCCTTCAAACAAAAGAATATCACAGCTTGAAATTGGCCTGGTGGATTCTCAAACTGTAGGATTACTTAGAACCATTCACTACAGTCAGTATCAGCTCTTAAGTAAGAATTCTGCACCTCTGAAGTTTCCAATTTGAGCACATGAACTTCATCTATGAGTAGCCCAATGTGCAGAAAACACTGAAAATATTTTCTGACTGTCTAGCTCACTACCTATTAATGCAGGTAAACAGAGTGACATACACTATCTACAACGGTATTTTTTGTCCTCGAATTGAGAGAAACTCTTCCTAGATTCCTGTCATGCATCAAAGCATATGACAATCTGATTTTCAAGTGCCGCGCCCTGATGCATTTGTGGTCGATCACATCGGCCAATTAAGAACAATAGCGAACTTTTTTAACAGTTATGGTGGCACGGGTTGTCGGCAGACGTGCATCAATACATATCCTCCTGTTCCATCAAGAAAACACTGGCACATCTGATTGTATCCCCATTACAGCATATTGTGCGATTGGAGGTGCCACTTAAAGGGACACTAAAGGCAAATGACAATTTATGTCATAGTGAAAGCTCCTCCCCCCCTCCTCCGATGTATGACAACTGAAACGGCAATATTATCAACAGCAGTGCCCTACTTACCAAGAAATTCAACTAAATGTATCACACGGTGTGCACCACGAGTGAAACATTTGAGAAATGATCCCGATGACATGAGAGCGCCCTGAATACAATTAATCACTAGTAATCAAACTAGTTCCAATAAAAAAACACCTTCTGTGTGTCAAAAGACATAATAAAATACTGCTTGTCTGTTTCTCTCTGATTTATAGAAAGAAGAACTATGGCATTACTATGGGAAATGGCGCAAGTGGTTCAAAAGTTTTATTTTCGTCAGGTTAGGCTTTATAGGTGGTGCCATCTAGCAGGGTCCAGCTGAATCAAGCAAGCAGAACTATGGCAGCCCCTCCTCTATTTTAAAAATGCCAGCCAGTGTTGTGCCACAGACATGTTCCTCGTTCGGGAGCACGTCTCACGAGATCGAAGCCCTGTTCCTACGAACTGACTCCCCCCCTTCCCAGCGCCGCCTTCCGCGCAGAAGAACCGTGCAGTTCCGGGGATAACATCGCTTCCTCCGCCGAACTACTTTGCAGTTCCGGGTATGGCTGCGTCTCCTCAGCCGAGTCACTGTGCCGTTCCGGGGAACTGGTCTCGCAGAAGAGTCCCAAAACGCTATTTAAGGCCGTGCCGGCCCCATGTTAAAGGATTTTGCCCCAGCCGACGTTGTCGTGCTGGCCGGCTCAGTACAAACGACAACCTGCTACAGTAAACGCTCCTTTTGTTGCTGTTTTCAAAACGGATTGCCTCCATGCTTCGCCTTCGGGCTAAGGCTTCAGCGAAGTCCGCTCGACTGCTCGCCGCTCTTCGCCACCGCTACCATCGCGAGACAGCAAATTCCTAACAGTGGTGGCAGCGGTGGGATACAATATCCTACGTTTGGCAAGTCTGATCGGATCTCTGAGCACGAGGACGACCACCGTGATAGCGTTTGGCTATGCTGTGATACGCTACCCTACGTTTGGCACGCCGGATCGGACACCTGGAAGCTCGAGCACGACCGACCAGATATTAGCGTGTGAATACGCTGGGATACGCTACCCCTGTCTTCAACGTTTTGCTGCTCTGGGACCCGCTACCCCGATCTCAACGGCTGAAAAGTTGGACCGTATCTCCGAGCACGAGGACGACCGCCGTGATAGCGTTTGGCTATGCTGTGATACGCTACCCTACGTTTGGCACGCCGGATCGGACACCTGGAAGCTCGAGCACGACCGACCAGATATTAGCGTGTGAATACGCTGGGATACGCTACCCCTGTCTTCAACGTTTTGCTGCTCTGGGACCCGCTACCCCGATCTCAACGGCTGAAAAGTTGGACCGTATCTCCGAGCACGAGGACGACCGCCGTGATAGCGTTTGGCTACGCTGTGATACGCTACCCTACGTTTGGCACGCCGGATCGGACCCCTGGAAGCTCGAGCACGACCAACCTGATATTAGCGTGTGAATACGCTGGGATACGCTACCCCTGTCCTCAACGTTTTGCTGCTCTGGGACCCGCTACCCTGATCTCAACGGCTGAAAAGTTGGATCGTATCTCCGAGCACGAGGACGACCGCCGTGATAACGTTTGGCTACGCTGCGATACGCTACCCTGTTCTCATCGTTCGGCAAGCTGGGACAAGCAACCCCGGATCTCAACATTGGCAAGTTTGACCGGATCCCTGAAGGCCTGACACTGTTCGACGGCAGCCACGAGTTGGACCATCGTCGGCTACTTCGGTTGGGTGAGTGCTCAACGTTTACTGTTCATTTTGCCAGACCTCTCTAGCACAGGCAGATGTTAGGAGAGTGTTTTGTTTTGTTTTGTTTTGGTGGTTATAATTTAATATTCACCTACTTTAAACCACGAGATTAGTTTTGGAGTACGGTGAATATCAGTAGTAGAGCATCACGAGGGATGAGATCGCGATGGAGCAGTACCTGGTGCAGGACCTCCTTGAAATTTATGGAGCCATGGGGATTTCCGCCGGGTCCGCTAAAACAAGGGAAGCGATTCTCGAGGTGATGCGGGCAGAGAATGTGACGGCCGAGGAAGCTGAAGAGTTTTGGGAGCTAATTTGTGAGCAAAAGCAGAAGGCCGAGAAAAGCCACGAAGAGCTCGAAGCTCAAAGGCACGAACAATGGAAGGCCGAAGAAGCTCAAAGGCACGAACAATGGAAGGCCGAAGAGAGTCGCAAAAGGAGAGAGCATGCTCTCAGAATGAAACAGCTTGATCGTCAAATTGAAGCGATTAAGTGGCAACGAGCACAATACCGACTCGGACTCTTCAGAATGGACGAGAACATCGTGTCTTTTCTCGTTAATTTTGAAGAGGTCTCTGACGATGTTGGTGTTGAGCGAGATTTATGGTCGGTGAATCTTGCCACGTTGCTTCCCTGCAAAGTCGCAAGCATTTTAGGAGCGCTTATCTGCCGAGGAAGCGCATAACTTCGATAGGGTTAAATACGCTGTGTTCTGCCACTTTGCTGCCCTGAGTCCTGCCGACTGCGAAAGTCGAGAATACAAGTACAGCACTGAAGCGCGCAGCAAAGTGCTCGAAATTGAGGCCCATCGCAAAGCGCAGGACGCCAACGTGCGTCAGAGAGAGCGAGATGAGGCGCGGCGTAAGGCGATGCAGGTAGAAGCGCGTAAAGATAAGGCATGCCGAAAAGCCATGGAGGCTGAGGCCCGTCGCGAAGCACAAGCCGCCGAAGTGCGCCGGAGAGAGCGTGACGCTGAGGTGCACCGCGAGGAGTTAGGGGCCGAGGCCCATCGCATAGCTAAGGACGCCGAGGTACATCAGAAAGCACTGGAGATGGAGCCGCTTCGCAGCGCAAATGATCAAGATGAATCGCGTACAAAAGAGCTTGACGACGAGTCGCGTCGCGGGGCGCTAGAGGTTGACGCCTGCCGATAAAAGCTTGAGCAGGATGCGCGACATAAAGCGCTACAGAATAAAGCTCGTGAAAGAGAGCATGAGGCCGACTTCGAAGGCCAGAAAACAAGGGCTATCGACAACAGCGATAGACACCCACCGATCGAAAGCTCTGTAAGCGCGCTTGTTAGCTTCAAAGTCATCGGGACTCCCGTTCTGTCACAGACAGAGACAGCTAGCAACGGGCCCGAGCGAACGCTAGCTAACAAATCGGGAGCTTCGACTCCACACAAAGAAGGCAGCACACTTATGGGTAAGTGTGTCGAGACTGCCAGTATTGTGAGAAGTTCGAACAGAAAGAGGCGTCGGCGTAAGCGTAAAGCGGTAAAGACGACTGGCGCCAAGCGCGCTAAAGCTGCTGTTAAGTGCTGTGACGTCATTAGTCGAGACGCCAGGTTCATGGCTAGGCGTAGGATTGCGAAAAGGTCCTCTATGAAATGTTTGAAGTGCAGATTGCTGCGGAGATCGAGATTAAGCGAGAGGTGCGTCAAGAAAAACCGAAGTTCAGGAAAATTCGGACGCCGAGATCATCGCCTAGTCTCATATTTTTCTCTGCCGCGTAGAGGCAACCAGGAAGGGAAGCATAGCTTACGCCTAAGCCAT